AAAAAAAAAAAAAAAAGATGCTTCCAGAGCTGGGGATTTAGCTCAGTGGTTCCAGCATCTACTTTGCAAGTGCAAGGTCCTGAGTTTGATCCCTGGTACAAAAAAAAAAAAAAAAAAAGGATGCTTCCAACAACGTCATAACCAAAAATTAAGTCTAGTTGGGTGAGGTGGGACATATCTGTAATCCCAGCTATTTGGGAAGCTGAGGCAGGAGGATGGTGAGTTTGAGGTCAGCCTGGGCCGCACAGCAAGACCCTGTCACACAAATAAAAGCCAGGAGCAGTGGTACATAACTAATAATTCAAACTGCGTAATTCCAGCTATGTGGGAGGCTGAGGCAGAAGGATCTCAACTTCAAAGCCAGCCTGGGCAACTTAGCAAGACCAACCCAAACACAGAACTCTTATAACTTAGTTGGTCCAAATAAATACCAATACCTTTCATGTCTTCAGCACTGGCTGTTCGGTGCTACAGTAAGCCAGCAATCACACTGCAACTGATTGGCACTAAAATGCTCAACGTGGCCATCTGTCTCATACTTCATTAGAAAATGAGAAATACTGTTTTGTTTTCTTAGCATAGTAATGCTAATATTGAGTTAGCTTAAAAAGAATCGGGCTGGGGCTGTAGCCCAGCAGTAGGGTGCTACCTCGCACAAATAAGCCCTGGGTCCCATGCACGGTAAAAAAATATACTGCCCAAAAAAAGGGCTGGGGATTTAGCTCAGTGGCGCCATGCCTGCCTCACAAGCACAAGGTCCTGAGTTCGATCCCTGGTACTGCAAAAAACAAAACAAAACAAAACAAAACCTAAATAAATATTTATATATATATGGCAATAACCAGGTATAAAATATCATAATAAAGGGATTCAGTTTCATATCTATGAATTGCAGCTTTTCACAAAAGAATTCCACTCCCACTCCAAGATTGGTAGAACACATTAAGTTGGTAATTTTCCCATTTGTTCATTTATTTTTATTTGAGACACAGTCTCACTCCGTAGTCCAGGCTGGCTTTGAACTGACTATATAGCCCAGGCTGGCCTAGAACTCAAGGCGATCCTCCTGCCTCAGCCTCCGAGTGATGGGATTACAGGCATGCACCACCACACCTGGCTATGAGATCTATGGATTCTCAAATTCAGTCTTAACCAAATAATGATAAGCCATAGCCACACCCAGGAACTACGCGAAATCAAATTATGACAGTCCTTCCTAATAGTTAGAAAAATACCTAACTTGAAGAGTTTTCTAAGTTTTAAGTTTCAACCCTATATATTCTTCTTAGACTTCTCATGCACTCTTCCAGGCGTCTGCTCTCCATCAGGCAGATCAGACAAAGAGCAGGAGAACACTAATGGAGAAAGCAGGAAGCTGACAGCGGTGACTGCACGCTGTGGCTGTCATTTAACAGTGCACCTGTGTGACAGGCATATTTTCTGCAAGTCAGGGTGTGCAGCGTTGTGACAGAATGAGACAGATGAGCTTCCTGGGTGGAGGCAGCACCAACCATCACAGTGCCTTGAAAAAATTTGACCAAAATGACAGTATGGCCATAGCTTGGTCAGGTGCAATGAAAATATCTTAAGGTTTACGCATTTCAGTCTCATAGAAAAACCCTCCAATCTTTGGACAGGCGTGGATGTTTTCTAAACCTCCGTGATCTGAAGACTTCAGCTAAACTTACTTCTTTAGATTGATTTTTCTTTTTTGAGATGAGATGAACTCACGGGGTCAAGCGATCCCCCTGCCTCATCCTCCCAAGTGGTTGGACTATAGCATTAGAAGTGGCACCTGCAGAGATTCAACTTCTGCACTTGATCTGTTTCTTCACATAGGTCCGGGAGTACCCTGAGTCTTGACTTCCTTTCCCAGGTCCTTGGGTTTCACACCAGATATGTTTCTGTGTCTCTTCAGAGTAGCTGCCAATCTCAAGGCATTTTTCTGGGATCCACTGTGGACCACCTGAACCATCACCTTGCTACAGTTTAGATCTTGAATGTCCTCAAAGGTGCGTGTGTTAATGGCCTGGCAGCACTATTTGGGGGGGGTGGACCCTTTAAGAGGTGGGGCCTATGGGAGAGGTCTTTAGGTCATGGGGGGGGTACCCTTAAAGGGAACACTGGCCATAAACTCTTCTTCCTCTCTCTGCTTCCTAGCTATGGAGCAAGCATCTTTCTTCACCACATACCCTGCCAGGAGGCACTGTCTGCCACAGGCCCAAAAGCACTGGGGCCACTTGGTGACAATCAGGACCTTCCAGACACTGGGAGCCAAGAGACATTTGCTTTCTATTTATAAGGCAATCACCTAAGGTACCCGACACAGTGGCAGGAAGCTGACTGATACACACTGATTGTGTTGCTGCCCAGCACAAGCACCATCCTTTCTGAACCCCCAGAGATACCCAGCTCCTGACCTTGACTCTTCACCTTATGCTCCCTATGGTTCCCTTTCTGTCCAATGATGTGAGCCAGAGCCCTCTGTGTTACCCTCAACACCACCTTCTCCCACTGTACACATCTAAATCTATCACTGTGTTCCATAGAAGTGGGTTTTGTTTTTTGAAACAGGGTCTTGCTATGTAGTGTAGGCTGGCCTTGAACTCACTATGTAGCCCAGGCTGGCCTCAAACTCATGGCAATCCTCCTGTCTCAGCCTTCTGAGTGCCGAGCTTACAGGCATGCACCCCCATACCCAGCTCATGTGTTGAAATTTTCTTTTGTTTTTGGTGCTGGGATCATGTATTTATTAGTGAGACATGGTGGCATATGCTTGTAATCCCAGCACTCTGGGAGGCTGGGACAGAAGGATCACAAATTCAAGTCTAGTCTGGGCAACTTAGCAAGATCTTGTCTTAAAATTAAAAAAATTTTTTTTTAAAAAAAGGGCTGGGGATGTTGCTAAGTGTGAAAGTCCTGGGTTCTATCTGCGGTCCCTGGGGTAAAAAAAGAGGGTGGAAACAAAACTTTACCTAACTACCATGTTTAGAAACAGGGTCCCTTGACCGGGGATATAACTCAGCAGCATAGCATCTGTGTGGCAAGTGCGAGGTCTGGAGTTCAATCCCCAGTACCAAAAAAAAAACCAATGGGGCCTGAGGAGGTGGTTAGAACCCATAACTGAATTACACACACACACACACACACACACACACACACACTCTCCCTGTCTCTTGCTATGTGGTGTCCTGTGGCCCCAGTCATCAGCAAGGAAACCATCATCAGATGCAGCATCCTGACCTTGGACCTCTAGAACATGAGCGAGGATAAACCTCTTTTCTTTACAAAGTAGTCTGCTCCAGGCATTTTGTAATAGCACAAAGCAGACTAATACAATCTGTCACTTGGGTGACAGCGACAGCCACCTCCCTTCTTTTCCCTGGGCCTCTTTTCCATCTGGTCCAGTAATCTTTTTACAACAAGAATTAGATCGTGTTATCTTCCCCTGCACAAACTCATCCCTGACAACCCCAAGGCCTATGAGGCCTTCTGTCTGAACTCTGCCTGTGCCTGTTCCTTGTGTGTTTGTCACAGGTGCAGATGGATATTTGCTTGTGACATTACCTGATTCCTGCTAGTGCCCCAGTCTGGACCTGCTTTTTGCTCACCACTTTATCCTTAGTGCTACCAGTTTCTAGAACATACAGGCTCTCGTCAATATTTATAGAATGAACAAATGCAGTCGGGCATGGTGATGCAGATCTATAACCCCACCATTCCTGCAGGCCGAGGCAGGAAGATCACAAGGTTGAAAGACTAATCCAAGGCTCTGCCTTAAAATAAACAATTTAAAGCTGGGCATAGTGGCACACGCCTGTTATCCCAGCACTTGGGGTGCAGAGGCAGGAGGATTGCCACAAGCTCAAGGCTAGCCTGATATACAGAGTGAGACTCTACCTCAAAAAAAAAAAAAAAAAAAGAAAAAGATCTTGGCCTGGAGATTTAGTTCAGTGGCACTGGTGCCTGCCTTGTAAGCATAAGGTCCTGAGTTCGATCCCCAGTACCAAAAAAAAAAAAAATCTCCTGTGATGTTCATTTGCCGGTTTTGTTGCTTTGTTTACTTAAAGGTCTGATTTGGTTTTGGGGTCTGTAAAGTACTAAACCATGATGACTTATTAACTGGGTGAGGTGGTGCACACCTGTCATACCAACACTCTGAGGCAGGAGGTTGGCAGGTTCAGGCAGGGCAACTTAGTGAGACCCGGTCTTAAAAAAAAAAAAAAGGATAACACACAGACTTATGTTTAAATAGTAATACAATAAAATTAGCATTGGGTACCCAGGAGAATTTTTTTTCCCTGTCTTTTTATTGAGATAGGATCTCACTATGTTGTTTAAATTGGCTTTGAATTCACTAGGTAGCCCAGACTGGCCTCAAAGGGATGCTCCTGCCTCAGCCTCCCCAAGTGCTGAGATCACAGGCATGCACTACCAAGCCCAGTTTTTTTTTGTTTTAGAAATGGGGTTGAGGGCCGGGGATTTAGCTCAGTGGTTTCACCGCCTGCTGCACAAGTGCAAGGATGTGAGTTCGATCCCTGGCACCAAAAAACTCCCCCCCAAAACCCCCCAAACCCCCCCAAAAACAGAAATGGGGTTGAAGCTGGGAGTGGTGGTGCATGGCTATGATCCCAGTACTCAGAAAGCTGATGCAGGAGGATCATTGTGAGTTCCAGGTGCTAGGCTACATAATGACTTCAAGGCCAGCCTGCGTTACAAAGCAAGACCCTGTCTGAAAAAAGAAAAAAAAAAGAAAAAGAAAAAGAAGAAAAAATAGAGTACTCATGTTGAGTAGTCCTGATGTATTAAATGAGGAGTCAGATTATGTGACCTCATAGCACTTCCCAACTCTAATATCCCATGATTCCAATCTTGTGCTATACACCACTGAGAAACTGAGGCAGGAAATGTTGAGACTCTGAGCTCTACAGAAGGCATAGGAGGGAGGCAAAAGGAGAAAGCAAGTCCTCTTATACCAGGCACAGACCACACAGCTATTAGGAACCTACAAAGCTTTCCTCAGTAAAAATATCCCGAGATGCCTATAGGATAGAATGACTCATTTACTGGTATCTCAGAAATCTTCAAGGGAGAAGTGGAAAAACAGACAAAATGTTTCCCAACATTAACTGAAATAGAACACAAGAACCTCTACCACACCAAGTGTGGTTAAATATAAAAAATCAGTTCTCACACAAACAACTTTCCATCCATGAGGTGACGCACTGTTAATAATCTCCTGCACAATGTGAAAAGACTTCTCAATGTCATGTTCTATGTGGTAAATATGTACAATTTTTATTTGTCAATTAAAAAAGCCTGGTGACTTGCTCTTCACACTTAGGAAGGCCAAGTTAAGAAGGCAAATCTGGATTCAATGGCTAGGACTGACCTTAAAGTTAGCTTTCAGTGTGGACACTTTCTAGGGATCAGGCAATTCGGGTTATTAAGTTGTTAATCCGGAGGGCACCTGCTGGTTGCTTACCCACTAAATCAAATGCCAAGTCCCACACATGCTGATTGCCTTTCGTACCTCTTCCTCATCAATTATGTTCGTAATAGGCTTTTTAAGAATACTCTCATGGGGTGTGGTGCACACATTTGTAATCCTAGCAGGTAGGAGGTATTGCTACAAGTTCCAGACCAGCCTGAACTACATAGTGAGTCCCTGTCAAAAAAAAAAAGTGCAAGGGCCCAAGTTCGATCCCTGGTACCAAAAATAAAAAAACTCAATTCCTGCCCCCCATCAAACTCAGGACTTTGTGCTTGCCAGGCAGGTGCGGTGCCACTGAGCCACATCCCAGCCCTCAAACCTACTTCCTCCTGAGAACTTCCTGGCTTAATCTTCACACCCCACACAGATTTCTGTATTTTCTTTCCTTTCTTTTTTCTTTTTTGAGACAGGGTCTCAGGCTGGCCTTAACTTGGCAGTGGTTCTCCTGCCTCAGCTTCCAGAGAGCAGGGATTATGGGCATGTGCCACCACACCTGGCTCACCTTCATGTGGTAATTGTGCCTCACAATTGCCTTGTTTCCTGCTTCTAACCCCCAACAAGACATCAGGTGTGTTGTGAGAGGGATTAAGACTTTCTGTATTTCCCACTGCCTCAGAACTCTACATTTTTTTTTCTTCTGGTACGAGGGATCAAACTCAGGACCTTGGGCTTTCGAGGCAGGCACAGCACCACTGAGCTAAATCTCCAGCCCTCCCACTGCCTCAGAGTAGGACCTCAAAATGTGCTTATCAAATGGGAAACCCAGGATGTCATCATAAGGACGTATTTCATAATTTCTCATCTTTGGTATTCACATCTAGTATATTCATGGCCCTAGAAAAGTAGTAGAAAACCAATATTTTTTCATCACGTTAACTACTTGTGAAACAAGCAGGAGAAAAGACATTTAAATTCCAACTCTTTACCTTTGAATGTCCCAGGAATTGGTTTTTAAAACAATCCTTAACATTAAAAATATTTTAGAAAACAGAAGTTGAAAAGGCTTGCAGTGTGTTCACAATCCCAATGATAATAACAAATTGATTTTAGCAGCAGAAATTGAAATATGACACCTGGAGCAGCATTGAAACCCACATATGAGTAAACATCTATATCTTTGTGTCTGAACAAAATCAACCTCAAGTCATTTTAAAATATTCTATCTGAAAAAAACCTGTACACAATCTAGTTAACGTGCATTTTTTTTTAACTGAGCAGATAGTAAGGACAATTTGTCATTTTCCCATACAAATAAAAACACTTCATCTTTTACTTCCAAGGTCTGAAGAAACCGCAAGATTTTAAAAAAGAATAAACACATCGTTTCTGCTTATTAAATAACCTGGGATGTTAAGAGGTTGCATATGTAATTCTAATATGCTATTTACATAGTCAAGTTCAAATCATAAAAGCCCTTTCCAATGTTAATGAAGCAAAACTATTTCTTAGAATATTTGTTTAAAATGAGGACAACTGTTCATTTAGGTACAAGGCAAGTATTTTAGATAGGGTCAATTAGAAGCTTTTTGGTTAGCAAATACAATTACAATGGTTGGTAGTTACACTAGGAATCTAAAAATAAAACAAGTTGTTTCTGCTTTTTTGAACAAATCATTATAAAACTACAATTTGCATTCACAATAAGGAGCCTAAAACTGAATAGTTCTTTTTCTCAAGAATGTATGCTGCTGAAAAAAAATCTTATAAACAAGATTAAATATTATCCATTGTTAGAAAAAAACCAGTAACACCGCTACTATAAAAATGCAAAGCAAAAGCCAGTTCACACCAGAATGTTTACCTACATACTGGGGACCCTGAAGTTAACTGATCTACGGTCAGATCCTTTGGACTGGAGTTGAGGCAGAAAAATAAAACAATGTTACCACATTCCTGGCTAGCAAAGAGAATACCAAATGACTTTGAAAAGTCCTTTCTGACAAAATAATGAATTCCTCCCTTTCCCATCCTACAAGGGATCTTTTCTGACGGTGGAGGAAAAGCCACACTATAAATAAATAAATAATGCAAAACAGATACCTCCGGCCTCTTTGATGCTGCACAGCCTGACAAGCCGTTTGCATGAAAATAATTCCCTTTAGTTCCGGGAACTCGAAGATCTCCAGGTAATCTTGAACAACTTTCCAGTCTGGGATCACGTAATGAGTCAAATCACTAGACAGGAGCTTTCCATCTGAAACACAACTCAAAGGCGTAAGAGATTCGATAGCATTTTCAAACCTAGACTAGACCATTTCGATGTTATGGTGCCAGGTGTGCTAAGTAGCTTCCCATCTCAAGTCTACCGTGAAGTTGTTTAAAACGAGTCACCTACTTCGGTAGAGGGCTCAAGTTTGGGGAAATTCAGCACTTACTGTTTTTTTTTGTTTTCTAAATTGAGATAAATATATGCTCAATATGGTTTATGGTGTTGCCAGTGGTGCAGTAGGAGGGTGATATTTTAAAAACAAGCAAGTATATTTGCAGGAGAAGCGGAGTATGTCTGTGTAAACTCATTGCTACGCACCCACGTTCAGAGCACTCCAAAAAACCTGTGTGTTAACACTAGCGTGTGCCCAGCAAGTCCAAGTTGGTTTTGTTTGAAGCTTTCTGGCAAAGGCTAGAAAGAAGTGCCAGGAAGATGCTGGGTGTGAGCAAAGGGCAGGGGCAGGGCTTCCACCCAGCTGAGAGCTCTTTAGTTGTAACTGAGATCGTCACCAACCTGAGGCCCTAACCATAAACTGAGGATTGAAATATCGCTGCTGACCTCCACCAGGGGAACGGGAAGGGACAGCCACCTGCACACTAAGGGACAGGGGCAGCCGGGGGGCGTAAACCCGGCGCACAGCCGTCCCCACTCAGCTCTCCCGCGACCTTTCTCGGTGACAGGGGCGTATCAGTCCCCAGCCCTGGCGCCAGCCGCTCTTCGCTGCACAAGTCGGAGACCTTGGTGCAGGCAGGCCTGAGAATCCGCAGGAGCAGAGCGGGTCTGGAACTCACTACGGAGCGCACCGCTCCCCGCGGCGGCGCCACCTAGGCCGCAGGCGGAAAGGGGCTGCGGGGCGCCGGCCTCCGTCCCCGCAGGCGGCAGGGCGGAGCCATCGAGGAGTCCTCGCCGCGATCAGGCTGGAGGTGACCCCACGAGGCGGGCGGAGGCAGCAAGGGCCGCGCAGCCCCCGGTGAGCACCCCGCCCGGCCTCGCTCCTTCCCGCTCCCTGGCCCCGCGCACCGTGGCTGCAGGCCGCCGGCCGCGCGCACAGCGGGCTGTGGCAGGGCACGCAGGCCCGCAGGTAGTGCTCGCGCACGATGCGCAGCGTCCGGCCGCGGAAGGTCCGCAGCAGCAGCACCTTCTCCTGCTTCTGCAGCATGGCGGCGGCGGCGGCGCTCCGAGAGCGCAGGCCGCGGCGCAGGCGGAGCGAGGCCCTGGCGTCAGGCCCGCCCCTCGGCCCCAGGCCCTGCCCGGTTCCCGGGCGAAACCGCCATAACGGCCGCCCCGAGCTCTGACCCCGATCCCGATCCCGATCCCCGTCTCTCAAGCCCAGCCCGGAGCGTGCGTGCGGCCCACCCTGGACCCAAGGGTGCTCGGGACTAGACACGGAAGCTGGTTTCGAGGCCCCGGGGAAAAAGTCTGGAGCAATGGAAAGGCTGATCACATTTTGGTGTCTACTCCAGGTCCACATGGGAAGGGGCTGCCTTGTTAGTAGGGGACTTAGTAGTTTTTTCTTTTCTTTCTTTCTTTTTGTTTTTTTGGTCGCTGTCTCTATATGAGCTGAGTCAGCGAATAAACTGGCCACCCTGCTAGCCAGACCTTTTTTTCCCTCCTTAAAAACAGGGCGTGGTGGCGCATCCCTGTTTGTAATCTCAGCAGTTGGGAAGCTGAGGCAGGAGGACCGTCAGGATTTCGAGGCCATACTAAACTACATAGCGAGACCCTCTCTCAAAAAACAAGCAAATAACAAAACAAAACAAAAGCAAATGAAAAAACACATTGCCACTGATACAATCAAAATATATTGATCCTTTATGCCTTTCGACAAAGGGACTCATTCTCTTCTGAGGTCACAGACCTTGATGGCCAGAAGCACCCCAAGCACTCAGCACGGCCCAGCTGCACCACAGCTTTGTACATCAGAGCGTGGGGCTTTGGGATCCCCGTTTTACAGACTGGGAGGCTGAGTGGCCGAGGCCACCCAGTTATTAAGTGGCAGAAATCAGCGCTGAAGCCTAAATGCGGCTGAATCCGCAGCAGATGATTAAGTCGTCATGGTGCTGTTCCCTCACAGATGACACAGGGCTTGTACTGTGTCTGAGCAGTTGACAGAGAGCTTGACCAGCTCTATTAAGGCAGTGCCTTCTGAGTGGACTTGGGCTACTGAGTTTTTCCTGAGTATACTCCGGGAACCCATATAGGAGGCACGGTCCCTCACTCGGTTTACCTGTGTGTCAAGTGGCCTTGCAGTGTGACAGCCAAGATGGAACCACACAAATAAGAAAAGCACACAGAGTCCTGTTTCGGGGACCAGTAGCCGGGTGGCAGCAAATTGTGAGGATCTGAGGAGGGGTCCTCACCTCGCCAAGTTCTCCGAGGTTGAGGGTTCGGCTGGCTCAGGGCTAACTTTCTCAGTGCTTAGAATCTGAAAAAAATGACAAATGTGGATGATAGGCATCACCTCATCTCTGAAGCAGATCATGAAGTAAATCCTGGACCAATGAATATCCAGTTTGATTCATCAGACCTAAGATCCAAAAGATGAAAGCAACACTGAGATTCCACCTCACCCCAAAAAGAATGGCTGCTATCAAGAAATCAACCAATGGGCCGGGGATTTAGCTCAGTGGTTCCGGCGCCTGCTTCTCAAGCGCAAGGTCCTGAGTTCGATCCCCGGTACCAAAAAAAAGAAAAAGAAAAAGAAAAAGAAATCAACCAATAACAAATGTTGGCGGGGGTGTGAGGAGAAAGGAAACCGTCTCCATTGTCGGTGCGAGTGCAGACTGGTGCAACCACTGTGGAAATCAGTATGGAGATACTGCAAAGAACTAGGACTAGAGGACCCATTTGATCCAGCTATTCCCCTGCTGGGTATCTTCCCAAAAGAATTAAAAGAATCATACCACAGCGATATATGT